GGGACGAGCGAAGTGCAGGTGAGGAAACTGTGGGGGGAAACAAGGGATGACATCAGCGGATGACGCTTAACAAAGCTCGCTCACGATGTGTCGGCACGGGGAGCCGAAGCCCTCCCAGGGTGATGTGTGTTTTGTGCATCATGTGGGGCATGTAGGTCACACGCAGGCAGGCACGGTGACAGGCGCTACGGGAGGGAGAGAACCGACGGAGCTGCTCAGCTTTCAAGGACTCGAGTGATGCTCTCATGCGGGCCGCGTGCGCGGACCCCCTCGGACATATGCTTGTTCTCGTAGACATCACCGCACCTTCCGTCCAGCGGGCCCAGTGGCACACGCCGCATGCGCTGCTCTCCCTCCACCATCCGTCGCCCACACGCTCAACAAAAAACGGAGCGGGACGAGCGAAGTGCAGGTTGTTTTGATTAGTTGGGTGGTCCTGGGTGTATTTTGTGGGTCTGCGCTAAAGTATCAATGTAAACTTGACTTTCTAGCTGTCTGGCGCATCTGTGTACGTCGCAGCAAAGGAATGTTGAGTTGCATCTCCGTTTGGGGAGAGAGGAAGAAGACGAACAGCAGTAACAGATGTGGGGAATAGGCTGAGTGACGAGAAAATGATGTGTTTTAGTGGGTGGCGGCCATTGGCCTTGTCCACAGATGGTTTCAGTGCACTTATCCCATCCCTGTTTCCCGTTTTTTTTTTCGTTTGCTCTTGTTACTCCTCTGATTTCTCTTGTGCGATCTCTTTTCTCCTCCGCCATCGAGCGCAACACGTCTGTGAGGCTATGGCGGCGGCAGCGGTGTCCCCAGCGTGGGGAAGGGGACCTGCCTCGACAACACGATGGTTTTGTGCTCGTACGAGATATACCCCCGGACGAGGTCGGCGGCAATGAGCTTCGCCGTCCACCACGTCATCTTGTCGTCCGTCATGGCGGCCGCCGTGCTGAGCGTGTCGCCGTCGTCGCGGTGGCGTTTGGGCCGCTTCGGCTTCGTCGCGGATGCGGCGGCGGCGGCGTGCCCCTCCTCCACCACGTGGGCGTACGCCGCCGTGAGGACCGGCAGCGGGACGCGGCTATTGTCGACGCCGCAGGCGCCAAGGGCGGCGTGGGTGCGGGCGAGCAGCACGAGGAAGCAGTACAGCTTCGCCTGCTGCAGGAGGAAGAACACCCCGCGCTTGCGGAGCAGCGTACCAAACGCGTCGACGGCGTTGGCGAAGGCCTCCGGGTCGCCGCGCTGCACCGCCGCTAGAATAGGCATGAAGACGAACGCGATGAGGTCGTCCGTGCACAGGATTTCCTCCGGCACAACCCGGCCGTGCACGACGCCGGCAACGGTGAGGTAGAAGCGGACGCGCTGCTTGTTTCGTTGTTGTACCTCCGTGCCCTCGCCCGGGGGCGGGAGGAGGTAGTACGCCTCCCGCAACGCTGCGTAGGCCTCGGCGAAGCGGTGATCGTACAGCATGATGCGGCCCTTGTAGTAGCAGAAGTTCACTACCTCCGCGGTCATATGCTGCGCGGGTCGCAGGATGGATTTGCCCCAGTCCTGCGTGGACTCGGCCGCCTTCTCCGACTGCGCCACCGCGTTGAGGAGGATGCGACACTGGTGCGTGTTGTAGTGGTGAAAGAGGATGCTCAGCAAACCGTTGCAGACCGCAAGGGCGCCGCGGCGTCGGGAGTGCTCGGGGGGCTCCTGGGGGTCCGCTGCCTGCAATGACTGCAGCAGCTTGCGCCAGCTCCGCACAATTTGGCCAGTGGCTTCGTCAATGACGTGCTCGCTGGCGTCGCGTGCGACGCGCGGGATGCGGTGGACAAAGTGGAGCAGCAGCAGTGTGTCCCAGCCGACTGTGCCGATGGTGCTGCCGCCGCGCCGCCGCGCCGTGTAGTGGCCACGCTGCATCGAATGCACCTCTTGAAACGCCTCAAACACGTGCAGCATACCCCGCGCAAGGGTGTCGTAGTACCGCTGCGGTAGCCTCTCGCCCCCGCTCTCCGGGCCGTCGCCGCCGTTGTGTCTGCTCTGCAGCTCCGGGCAGTAGGAACGGGCGAGGGCTACCGTGACGGCGAGGCGCACCATGACGTCGACGTACAGCTGCCGCTCCTTCACGTCTTCCGCGCGATCACCGCGTAACCCCGCGTGCGACGCCTCCACACGCTCTTCGAGAGTGCGGCGGAGGCCCTCCACCGCCGCCTCGATGTTTGCAAGCACCACGGCGCTCGGCGGCTCTGTTACTGAGCCCTCCTCCGCCAGGGTGACGCAGTCCGTCAGAAGAATGCCGTTGCGCCCGGCAATGGCGTCGGCGGTCTGCTGCAGCCAGTCGGGTGACACGGTGAGCGCCGCCTGCGCCTCCGTCGTGCGGTTGCTCCTCCGCATGTAACTAGCGACTGGAGACAAGGCAGGGGAGATACACAAAAAGACCGCAAATGAGAGGAGAAAGAGAGAGAGAGAGAGAGAGAAAGAGAGAGAGAAAGAGACGGAGCGCCGCTCTGCGGCAAAGGCGTCTTGCGTTGGCCGCTCACGCTGGGGTGAGGATGGCGCACCAATTTTCCTTGTCGTAGTACGACGTTCGCACCGAGGCACCCGCCTCCGTGGCGAGGCTCTCCAGCTCCCCCTGCGCGAAAAGGTGATAGTAGCGCTGGTACACGCGCCGCTCCTTGTCGTGGTTCTCGTGCATCTCCCACCGGACAAAGACGTCTGCCGCGTCGGTTCTGGACCGCTTCTTCGGCTGCTCCTTCGCCCAAACGCTGACCAGCACAACACCGTCGCGTCGCACGAGGCGAAGCAGCTCGCGGAGCGCCTCAACCCGCCTTGCATGAGTAGCGAAGTGGTGAACGACCGCGATGCTGACGACGGCGTCGAAGATGCCCCCGCGAAGTGCGGTGCAACGGCCATCCGCGCGCAGCAGGTCGGTCCGGCAGGCGCAGTCGCCTGCAAAGGCCATCGTGCGCTGCTGCTGCAGCTGCCGCTGCGCCAGGCGTAGAAGCCCCTCGCTAACGTCGATGCCTACAACGTACCGGCAGGCGTCATCCGCCTCCGCCTCTGTGTCGCCGCGGCCCCCCCCGCGGTAGCGCTGCGCGCAGCCAAAGTACTTCCCATTCCCACAACCGACATCCGCCACGAGGGCGTACTTCGGCAAGGCCTCAATGAAGGCCTGCACCTTCGGCCACGCCTTGTATCGCGTCGACGAGAAGTGGGTGGCGATCGCGTTGTACACGTTCAGCACATGCTCCCGCTCCAGTGCATCCCCCTCCACAAGCTGCGCCGGAGGCACATCAGTGGCATCCGCCATGGTGCGAGGAGGCAACGCGGTGGTGGTGGAAGACAAAGCACAATTTTTTTTTAGAGGAAAAAAAGGTACGCGTGAGGGTGTGCCTCTGCAGACAACGTGGGTAAAAGATAGAGAGAGAAAAAAAAAACAACAACAAATGGCACGCTAAGTACGCGGGTACATGTACGGCAAGTGACAGCCCAAATGATGAGACTCACAGTACATCCTCAGCAGGGCAAAGCACGGCGCGGAAGCATGACATGAACCCCCTGGAAAAGAAGAAGAAGAAAAGACAGACAAAAAGACATGCAGTTATCATCTCCTCTACATCGCACGTGCACATAATCACACTATACACATACATACGCATTCATCTCCACACTGGGTGAATGTGCAGCGGCGACAACTCGCTCTCCCACACACGCATACGCACACACACACACAGTGAGAGGTAAAGAGGAGGGGGAGAGGGGGAGAAAACTCGAGCCAAATCAGCACATAAATGACAGTTCTTCTATTATCCTAAAGAAGAAGGGGAAGTGGCGTCTGAAGTAACACACACAACGGCAGCAGAGGAAAAACCACACAATGCCCGCCCCCCGGTCATTACACCCCATCAGGGATCGTCGGAGGTGGGCGGCATCCGTCGGCTGCGCTGAAGCCCTTCGCTATCAGCCTGCTTCGCCTTGACACGCACCGCCACGTTACTCCCGCTGACAATCTTGGTGGAGCCCACCGCTTCGAATCCGCGCTCGTCCGCGACAGACGTGATAATCTCGTCCACAATGACCTCCGCCAGCTCCTTCACATCCACCCGGGAGAAGAAAAGGCGAAGCAGCTCTTTCACAACCCGTGGCTTATCGCGATGCAGCAGCCCCGGCCTCCAGATGGTGAGGTGAGAGTTATCCCACAACTTCACAACGTCGTCCCCACTCTCCTGCCGCCCAGTTGCGTGAATCCAGTTGCTGCGTTGGACATCGTGCTACGTGCGGTTGAAGAGAGCAAGGAGCTCGCTGTCGCACTCGCCATGGGCGCGGAAGTACGGCAGCGGGCTCCAACTGCTGCTGCCCATGACGCTGACATGCGTGAACTGACGCAGTGTGCTCTCCCCGCCATGGCTGGGCCGCTGTTTGGGACACACTGGCGCGGCATTGCCACCCTCCTCCGCCTGCGCTGCCCCGTGTGCCTCGCTGAGGCGAAACCGGCTGCCGTCGGTGTGCCCGTAGCAGGCGGGGTAGATTTCCCCTCAGAGAACGCTATCCTGCATCCGTGCCTGCTTATCCATGAGCATTTCCTCCTCCCCTGAGGGCTCCGCGTGCACCATGCAGTTGAAGATGCGAACCATCTTGGCGAAGGCGATCGCGTACCGGTAATCCACCATGTCCACGGTGGACCGCGTGAAGAAGTTCCATGACCCCAGGCAGTTAATCGCGACATGGTGACCCCGGAAGACAAATTTATAGAAGGCGGTCCGCATCAGTTCGTTAAGAAACTCCTTTTGCGCTTCCGCGCCGGCGGCCGAGCCCAGCATCGACGTGTTCACGTACCCCGCTCTACTCGGGCTGCCCAAGGCGGCGGGAAAGAGGCCAGTGCTGCGCCCACGCGCCTCGTCGCCGGTCGTGTGGGTATCCCCGCTTGTGCCGTTCCTTCCGTCGCATGGGTCTCCGGCGAGAAAGTCCTGCGCTACTTCCCGCGATGCGCCGTTCCCGTCCACGCCGCGATCGCGTAGGACACGGAAGTGCAGCCGCGTCGCCGTGCCGCGTATTTTTCGCCACGCATACAACAACTGTGGGAGGGCACCATCGCCGCTCCACACCCCCGCACGGACGTACGAGACGGGCACGCGTGCGGCGTCGGCCACAATTTTGTCCCAGTCGACGGAGACAACGGAGAGGCAGCGCAGGGCGTTGCCGGAGTGAATGCGTGGAACCGCGACCGCCACCGGTTGATGGGGATCAGCGTCCGCGAGAGCGCCACCACGCGCTCCACGTTTGGGTGCGAGACGAGGAGCGAGACGAGTTCGCGTCCGAGGTTTCCTGTCGCACCGGCAATAAGCACGGAAAGCTGCCTTCCCTTCGCCACCATTCACGGCCCTTGCCTGGAGAGAAAGGCAGGGGGGGGGGGTCACGACACGCATGGGAGAAGAGAAAAAGAAAAAATAGGGGAAGTAGTCAAAAAAAGAAAAAAAGAGGGCACGTTGTGCACAGCAGCGGTATCGCAGACGCAAGCAAAAACATACACAAACATACACACACGCACACAAACATACACACACACACAAACATACACACACGCACACAAACATACACTCACACACACAAACATACACACACACACACAAACATACACACACACACACAAACACACACTCACGTTCTCTCTCTCACACACACGCACAAGTATGCATATCCCTATTCACTCACATATCTTAGTGGTGGCCCTGAAATGGGCGTACGTGTCTCTGTGCGTCCGCATGAGGATAGGTGTATTCACGTAAGTGCCTCTGTCTAAATAATAGGACCACCGATACAGAGAAAAAATAAATAAAATAAAAACGAAAAAAAAAAAAACGGTTTTACTTCCCTTCTAGCGTCCAGTGCGTGCTCTTCTTTTCTTCGTCGTGTGGAATAGAACGGGAGGAGGATGAGGAGGAGGGGAGATCCATCGCATTGCCGCCACGTCCCACCCCCCCACCCATCCCGGGGGTGCAGCAAAGGGAAGAAAGGTGCAACAAGAAGCCCTAAATAAGAAGGCAGCAGGGTCTCGCGCTCCTTCATGCACACACTTGCCCCTCCTCCACACTCCCTCGCTCGTTCCGCAGGATCGTTTTCACTCTTCCTCCTCTCGTGCACCTTGCGGCCGCATGAGGTGTGCCGTGATCTGTGCACACCCGTGTGCCTCAGCGTATCCCCTGCGCTTCCTCTCGCATTATTAGCTCCCCACCTTTTTTACTGTTGCCTTCCCCACGGAGGCGTACACACGTATCCTCACACCGCTACCAACATGCGTTATCTTTTACTGCCACCACTCGTTTGATTCCAACGACCCCCTCCCACACAGGCACACACAAAATAATAATAATAACCGGAAGCGTACGGCAAAGAAAAGGGATGGGCAGAGAGGGGGCGCATGCAACACCCCACGGTTCCACGCCCTTCGGCTCCTCATTATTAGTTAGCGTCGCCCCGCTGCGGCAGAGTGCGTGTGTGTGTGTGTGTGTGTTCCTCGCCTCCGGTCGGCACCTTCGTCCTCTACAGCGGCCTTAGGCGTAAGTGGATTGCACAAGTTAAGCAGAACACAAACAAGCAAACAAAAAGCAATACAAAATAGAAAATTAAAAAAAAATCATTGCAGCGGAATAGCGCATCCCTCCGCATCCTCCGGCTCTCTGCTGCTCGCCGCCCGCGCCCTGTGGAGGCACACGCACGCGCAAACTGCGAAAGAGGAGGTGGAGCGCTGTCCCGTGACAGCAAAGGGGGGAAAGACAACGCGGTGACGGAAATTCGACGGCGCGAAGGAAGGCGCATGCAGGGGGGAAACGCAACCCACTCGTCAAAGACGCAAAAGAAGCGCCGCACATGCGTGCCACCCCACGTTGTCGCCACCGTTCACTGCGGGCACACCAACCCACTGTTTCCCTCCCCCCCCTCCTTTTATTGTCCCCCGCTCTCTCTCTGTCTCCACCTCTCACTTCACCCCGCACGCACGCACTCCAGCGTACAATCCTTTAGAGCAGAAGCGACAGCGGGTTCTCAAAGGCGTCCTTGAAATGCGTACACCACTGCGCGCCCACCGCGCCGTCGACAACGCGGTGGTCGAAGGACGCCGTAAACTTGACGACCATCTCCACCTCGCTGCCTACCTGGTACTTTCCGGTTTCCTCGTTCAGCGTGATCTTAGGCCGCGGCTTTGCGGAGCCGATGGCAAGGATGAGGGACTGCGGAGGGTTGATGATGGCTGTAAAGCCGGGTATACCGGAGGCGCCCAGGTTGGAGACGGACACGGTACCGCCAATAAATTCATGTGGCTGCAGCGTGCCTTCACGCGCCTTCTTTGCCAAAGCCTTCATTTCTATGGAGATGTCGGCTAGCCCCCGCGCGTGGGCATTTTTAATGATGGGCGTGATAAGGCCTGTCGGGGTTGCCACTGCCACACTCACGTCCACTGTGTTGTACTGGCGGATCACGCTTCCCTGCCAGGACGAATTCGCCTCCGGCACCAGCATGTTCGCCCGCGCCACCGCCTTAATGATGTAGTCATTCATGGTGATTTTGAACTTGCCATCCCCCTTGACGTTGAGCTGACGAACGAGCGCCATCATATTGTCAGCGCAGCACTCCTCAAAGAGGTAATAGTGCGGGATATCCACGTTCTTCGACTGCGACAGCCGCCGCGCGATCGTCGCACGCATGTTTGACACGGGAATATCTGTGTAGTTCTCGTTGGCGGGTGGGGTGGGGCTCGCCGGCGCTGCTGGTGCTACAGCCGGTGCCGGCGTTGCCGGTGCTACGGCTGGTGCCGGCGTTGCCGCGGCCAACGTCTTCCCTATGCCGGTAGCCGCTGCAGCCTCCACGTCCTTTTTAACAATGCGACCCACGCCACCACCAGTGCCCGTGATGCCCTCCAGCGATACGCTGAGCTCCTGGGCCGTCTTGCGGGCAAGCGGGGACGCCCTGACGCGACCACCGCTGGTGGTGGCAGCAGTGGCTGGGGTGGTGGTGGCAGCGGTGGCTGGAGTGGTGGCGGCAGCGGTGGCTACCTCCTGTACCCCGGCCGGGGCAGCGCCCGCCGTCTGCCAGTTCTTCACCTCCTCCGAGTTGATGCCGTCCGCCTCGTCAACGATGAGGCATACCGTGTCCCCGACGGCGGCCTCGTCACCGCTCTGCAGGAGGATGCGGGCCAGGAACCCCTCCTCCGACACGTTGTCGTACGACACGATGGCCTTGTCAGTCTCCACCTTGCACCACGTGTCTCCGGGGCCGACAGGGCCCCCCAACCTTCATGACCCACTCCGTGATCTTCCCCTTCTCCATCGTAGGAGAGAGGGCGGGCATCGGGATGGGTGTGACGGTAAGGCAGCGAAGGCTCGCCATGGCGCTGCTCAGCTGCTGAACCGCGCGTCGGCGGAGCATCGATGCTTAGATATCGATAGAAATATGCTTGTGTGTAAGTCCCTGTATTTGCGTACACCGAAGCGGCGGTGTATCCTGGTTCTTGGTTGTAGTTTATCTTCTGTTTTTATTATATTTTTCAATCCTTCCTTCGTTGATTGCGTATTTGTTTGCTTCTTCGTTTTAGTAGTTTTACTCTTCCAATTTTTCCTTCTCGTTGTTGTCGTTGCCTAATCGTATCTTGCTTTTTTTTCTTTGCTTTTATATTTTAGTTGCTGCGCGTCCACTGCCTTTTGTTGCTCTTCCGTTGCGCAACGCAACACGACGCGCGAGCAGGCAAAAAAAAAAAAAGGGGGGAGAGGCGGGTGTCATGCAGGCGCCGCGGGGCCGCTCCCCCGTTGAGGCCACGCGGTAAAGCAGCAAGACAAAAACAGCAAACAGCAGCAACAACAAAAAGCAAACGTGCGGCAAATGAACCCCGCGCGGTCCACGCAGTTTCCTCCAGAGCGCAGTGTGGGGCGTTCAGCCCTGCGCATTACACCACCAGTGACGCCACCCACGACGCACGAAGGCGTCGCCGGCGGGTGCGCGGCATTACATAACAGGGAAGAGGCACCAGCGTGGCGGCCGTCAGCTCATCGCACCCCTCCTCCCTCCTCCCTCTACTCGTGAAAAGACCAAGAAATACAGTGCCGCGCCGCGCCATGCAGGTGAATCCATCCGCTGTCTTTCACTCTCTCTTTACGTGTGTGTACGCATGTGCCATAGTTTCCTGGTTACCATCTGTTAGACACCGTTCGCGTTTTTCCCCGTCCCCTGCAACACAAAGTCCTTGAACCGCCGACGCTTCAGGTCAAAACGGTGCGACATGACCAACTGCGCGTGGAGCTCGTCAATCCGGTCCTGCGGGAAACGGGAGTGGAGCGCCGCCGTGTACTCTGGATAGCGGTCGACGTAGACATCGGCGAGCGCAAAGAGCAGCCTCTCGCAATCTTTGAAGGGCAGCATGGCGTCATCCGCCCCCCCAGCAAAGTCCAGCATGCGTCCAAAGGCTCCCACCGCCAGCTCTTCCACCTGCGCCTCCAGCGCACTGTTCCCGCCGCAGCCTTTCTTGGTGGCCTCCACAACCGTGTCGATGAAGCGAGAGGCCTCGGGCACGTTGGAGCCGCTCTCCAGCATACTGAGCGCCACCTCAACTGCGACTTGGGCGAGCACCAGTTTCCCCACCAACAAATTCTTCTCAAGGATTTGCCTCCGCATAAATGTGTAGACTTCCTTAGAGAGGTAGAAGAGCTGCTTCTTGTCAATGACGTCATCCTCCGGGCGGGCGGAGGCAGCGCGTTGGGTAACGCGGGCAAAGAAGGCGCCGCAGATGGGGAGAATGCTTGCAATGAGACCCACGTGGGTGGTGCCAATGGGAAACATGCAGTGCACGATCAGGGAACGCATGGCATGCGTCGGGAGCAGCTCTGCGGAGGCGGTCAGCATCTGCAGCATCCCTAGCAGCGGCTCGGCCGGCAAAAATGTGCTCAGCGCCCCAACCACCTGGTAGAGCGACATGCGAAGATCCATCAGGATGAGGCGGGCCCTTTCCCAGCTGTTCTTGCGTGGCATGCTTTTTCGTGACCGGCCCGGCAGGTACTGCTCCCGCACATCGCGCTCCATGTCAAGGATACATGCGTAGCCGGCGGGTAGCTGCTCCGGGCGGAGCGAGTGAATAAACTCCATGAGCCGCAGAATACACGGCATCAGCTCCGTGAAGGCCTCCACCAGGTAGGGGCAGATCTTGCAACGCCGCACCACCCCGGCGACAATAACCACGCCGTCGCGCAGCATGTCCCGCTCCCCTTGTAGATCGGTGGTTTGTGCCGTAATGATGCTGTTAAACCGCGCCTGATCCATGGTCTGCACGCGCTGCATCAGCATCTTAGTGACGGGCGTGAAAAATGACTGAAGCCGGCGTTGCCCCTCATCGTCAGGGAGGACGTTGGTGAGTGCCGCTAGAGCCTCATAGAGCAGCGTTCGCTCCTGCGGCATTGTGGAGGGCATCATCAGCAGCTGTTCCAATTTCTTCATGAACGCTTCGCAGACGCACGCCAGCCGGGCTCCATGCTGGCTGCACGCGGTAACCAACAGCGTGAGGGCACGCTTGCGAGCTGACCTGACGTCGATGTCGTACGGGTCACTCGGCTTGCGCTCCAGGCAGGCACAAATAATGCCGAGAGTTCCCTCCCACACACCCAGAGCAGTGTCGTCCCTGCAGCCCCAGAAGGCGCTGAGCATGTTGAGGTAGACGGGGCATAGCACCATGTCCTCTGTCTGCTTCGCCACCAACGCGGCAATCGCCTGTGGGACATAGTCTGAGGAGTACCTAAACGACTCAGAAAGGTGGTCGATCAAAAACTGCGTTGCCTCCCACTCGCAAAAGGTGTTACTCTGCTGTGTCACGAACCCAGATAAAGTTCTGGGGTCCTCTGCCGAGCCGCAGCCGTCGCAAAGGCTCATGAGAAGTTGCAGGATAAACTGATTGCTGACAACCGGGTAGACGCGGGCCAGTGCGGTGAGCAGGTGACCTGTGAGACCACGAAACTCCCCAAATCCGCGCTCAAACAACTCGGTAGACCCGTACTGCTGTTCTGAGAGCTTCTTCCCCTGCTCACCTGTGCCAGACCGGGGGTGGAACTTGTTCTTTGGTATCAGCACCGCAAACCGCATCATGAGTTCCAGGGCGTTTATGTGGGCAAACGCGGCATCGCCCAGCCGCTTCAAAATGTGGCACACGGCCGTGGCCATGTAGATGCTTGGAACGGACAGCATCGCTAGACACGACTGACTCACTGGAGCGACGACGGCCTCAAGGATGGGGTTCGGCATCTCCAGCAGCAGCTCAGTCAACTCCTCAAGTGTGCTGTAATTTCGCTCCATCACACACGCCTCGACACAACCCAGCACGGCTGCCACCAGCGACAACGGCCCCTGATCCAGGGCTGTTGTGGACCTTACGAACTCGTCGCATTTTAGGAGGGCGGTTGTGGCGGCAAGCGCCTCCTGCGCCACGGGCGGCCAGCGCACCAGCACCGACAGCGTATTCCCTAACCCCACCTCCCACCACTGCCGCACGGGGACGCCCGAGGCCAAATTCACCGTAATAGTCAGGCAGTCTATAATAGATTCACGGGTAGGCTCAGCTAACTCCTGGGACCGCTCACCACCCGCCGCAGTGTAGAGGTCAAAGAGCGCTTGAATCGTCTCCACCAAAATCACACTGGTGTTAGCGGAGAGAGCCCGTTTGGGCTGCTTCATGCGATGCAGCGGCACATTGCCGAGATGTGGATCCATAAGCCGCACAACGAGCGTGGAGAGCAGACGCACCTTACGTGGATGTTTGGCAAGTTGCGCCTGTGGTGGACAGACCTGCTCCATGAAGTGCGGATACCGCTCTGGCCACTCATACAGCATGCACTCCGTGATGAGGTCGACCAGGTCACCGCAGAGCAGGCGACACAGCGAGGGCTCATTGAGGTACCACATCATAATATCACTATAGGGGACCTTTTCTGCAGCGAGACGACCCGACGCCACGGCACGTCTCAAAAGGACGGCGCCGTAGGCTTGCACTGCGACGCCGTGGTCCGAAACGCGCAGTAGGCCCACACCAATTTGCAGTATTTCCTCGGGACCCATTCGATCCTCCGCCTCCAGGACGTCCATGGTGGCAGCGCGACGCGTCTCATTGTCCTGGGCCGTGTACATTGTGGCGAGCTTGCGGATGAAGGTCTCGATGCTCATCACTGATGCTAACTGGTGCGCAGACGATGACAATGGTGCATGCATCGCAGCAGGAGAAGAGAAAAGAGCAAGAGAGGCCAGGGCAGGGGGAGAAGCAACCAAAGGTATATATATATATATATATATATAGAGAGAGAGA